GTGTGTGTGTGTGTGTGTGTGTGTGTGTGTGTTACCGTGTGCGGTGGTGCAGAGGCAGGTTGTGTGTGTGTGTGTGTGTGTGTGTGTGTGTGTTACCGTGTGCGGTGGTGCAGAGGCAGGTGTGTGTGTGTGTGTGTGTGTGTGTGTGTGTTACCGTGTGCGGTGGTGCAGAGGCAGGTGTGTGTGCGTGGCTGAGGTTTGGTTCTCTGTCTCTCCAGGATGTGTTGAACCAGATCTTCGATGCTGAAATCCCCCGAGCCCAGAGAGCACTTCATACTGTGGACTGAATACTGCCAGTGAGTACTTATACACACTGTGAGTACTTATACATACTGTGGACTGAATACTGCCAGTGAGTACTTATACACACTGTGAGTACTTATACATACTGTGAGTACTTATACATACTGTGGACTGAATACTGCCAGTGAGTACTTATACATACTGTGAGTACTTATACATACTGTGGACTGAATACTGCCAGTGAGTACTTATACATACTGTGGACTGAATACTGCCAGTGAGTACTTATACATACTGTGAGTACTTATACATACTGTGGACGGAATACTGCCAGTGAGTACTTATACACACTGTGGACTGAATGCTGCCAGTGAGTACTTATACATACTGTGAGTACTTATACATACTGTGAGTACTTATACACACTGTGGACTGAATACTGCCAGTGAGTACTTATACATACTGTGGACTGAATACTGCCAGTGAGTACTTATACATACTGTGGACTGAATACTGCCAGTGAGTACTTATACATACTTTACAACAACACACACACGGACTAAACATGAGTTACATAAATACCTCAAATATATAGTACAAAGAATTACACAAATACTGCACTTTAGTACTTAAACATACTGAGATACTGCTTGTTAGTACAAGACAATACACAGATACTGCCCGTTAGTACTTTAAAATACTTAAAACTGACTGCTAGTATTATAAATACTACAAGTTAGTACTGTCAAATACTAAAAGTATACAATTAGTGCACCCTAGTATAAAGTACACAAACAAACAGCCTGGTAGACGTATAAAATATACTAAAATACTGCATGTGAACAGCAGAACAACAACAAAGTACCATATATATATATATAGCAGAAGTACTTGCAGTAAATGTATTAGTGCATGTAGTATGTGATGTATTTGTATACGCAGTATTAGTACGTACACATGGGTTTGAGCTGGCTCAGCAGCTCCTCTCTGCTCCACCTCAGGCTGTCGTGCCGCTCGCTAACAGCACACAGCAGCGGACTACATTTCCCAGAATCCTCCTGGGACGGCACATTCAGATAGTGGACCAGCACGATGTCGGGGTTCTGCCACACACACACACACAGTGAGAGAGAGTGTGAGTGTGTGTGTGTGTGTGTGTGTGTGTGTGTGTGTGTGTGTGTGTGTGTGTGTGTGTGTGTGTGTGTGTGTGTGTGTGTGTGTGTGTGTGTGTGTGTGTGTGTGTGTGTGTGTGTGTGTGTGTGTGTACCTGCAGCAGCCAGTAGCATCGTCTGTGGAATGTTGGCACGATGGAGGAATGGACGTAGCAGCCGTACAGGCACTGAAACACACAGACAGTAAATAAATAAATAAATGATTAAAAATGTGCAGGAATATTGATAACAACAACAACAACAACAACAACAACAACAGTACCTCAGTGCCCTGAGGCCTCTGTACGACGAAGCCGGATTTTCGCTTAGCGGGTTAACTTCAGGTAAACTCTGGGTTTCCTACGACGCTGGTTCTCTTCTTAGCGGGCTAGATCTCCATGGCAACTGATGCTGAGCGGCTAACCAGAGGGGTATACTACGAAGCCAGAGGCCTGTACTACGAAGCCAGAGGCCTGTACTACGAAGCCAGAGGCCTGTACTACGAAGCCAGAGGCCTGTACTACGAAGCCAGGGGCCTGTACTACGAAGCCAGAGGCCTGTACTACGAAGCCAGAGGCCTGTACTACGAAGCCAGAGGCCTGTACTACGAAGCCAGAGGCCTGTACTACGAAGCCAGAGGCCTGTACTACGAAGCCAGAGGCCTGTACTACGAAGCCAGAGGCCTGTACTACGAAGCCAGAGGCCTGTACTACGAAGCCAGGGGCCTGTACTACGAAGCCAGAGGCCTGTACTACGAAGCCAGGGGCCTGTACTACGAAGCCAGGGGCCTGTACTACGAAGCCAGAGGCCTGTACTACGAAGCCAGAGGCCTGTACTACGAAGCCTGAGGCCTGTACTACGAAGCCAGAGGCCTGTACTACGAAGCCTGAGGCCTGTACTACGAAGCCAGGGGCCTGTACTACGAAGCCAGGGGCCTGTACTACGAAGCCAGGGGCCTGTACTACGAAGCCAGAGGCCTGTACTACGAAGCCAGGGGCCTGTACTACGAAGCCAGAGGCCTGTACTACGAAGCCAGAGGCCTGTACTACGAAGCCAGAGGCCTGTACTACGAAGCCAGAGGCCTGTACTACGAAGCCAGAGGCCTGTACTACGAAGCCTGAGGCCTGTACTACGAAGCCTGAGGCCTGTACTACGAAGCCAGGGGCCTGTACTACGAAGCCAGGGGCCTGTACTACGAAGCCAGGGGCCTGTACTACGAAGCCAGGGGCCTGTACTACGAAGCCAGAGGCCTGTACTACGAAGCCTGAGGCCTGTACTACGAAGCCTGAGGCCTGTACTACGAAGCCTGAGGCCTGTACTACGAAGCCAGGGGCCTGTACTACGAAGCCAGGGGCCTGTACTACGAAGCCAGGGGCCTGTACTACGAAGCCAGGGGCCTGTACTACGAAGCCAGAGGCCTGTACTACGAAGCCAGGGGCCTGTACTACGAAGCCAGAGGCCTGTACTACGAAGCCAGAGGCCTGTACTACGAAGCCTGAGGCCTGTACTACGAAGCCTGAGGCCTGTACTACGAAGCTGGTTCAACCTAACCTGGATATGTTGGAGTTAGCCGGTTGGCCCAATCCAAAACATACGCGCTCTGGCTAAGCTGTACTACGACGCTGGTTATCAAGTGGATCGCTCAAGCCAGCCGTGTCCTATCTAGTTAGGTGCGCGTTCACATGAAAGGGGTGGTATCTGGAGCATTCGACCAATCACAAACATGGACAAGCGTACTGACAGCTAGGGCTGTGCAATTAATCGTATTTTAATCGCAATTACGATTTTGCACTGCCACAATTATGAAAACAACATAATCGAAAAAAACGATTATTTTGCTTTGCTAGGTTGTGACAGTGCACTGCAACACATTTGATCAAATGTATTTGTATTTATCATATTTATATATGTTTAGTAGCTTGTTGAAGTGCGCTCCAAAATATTTGTTGATCTTGTTTATTGGTATTTATTATTTTGATATTATTTATTTAAATGTAGATATAAATGTGGCATTTATTTTATTTATTTTTGTATTGGTTTTTCAGTTGAATTATACGCTCAGGGAAATCAACAGTTAAAAAGATACTGTTCAAATTATTATTTGTATTTTAAAGTTCAATGAATGGATGTTTTCAAACATGAATAATCGTATTTAATAATCGTGATATCAATTATTGACCAAAATAATCGTGATTATGATTTTTGCCATAATCGCACAGCCCTACTGACAGCGCAGCGTCATACTTCCTGAATGAAAAGTGAACTTTAATATTAGTCAAATATGAAGAAGTTAAACTTTAAACATCCATGACTTAAACACTTTATCCAGGATCAAAGCCACATAGCTGCACCTGCAAGGTGAGTACAGCTGGTAACAGAGAAAGTGTTTGAATGCGTACATTAACAGGTTTATGATATCACTGCCCCGTCCAAGACACGATCTGACTTTAATTACATTTGACTCCAGTGTTTCCTCAACTTAATGTGTTGCTTAAAATAATACTTCTGCATCCAGTAGGGCTGTGCGATTATGGCAAAAATCATAATCATGATTATTTTGGTCAATAATTGATATCACGATTATTAAAGGTGGGGTAGGTAAGTTTGAGAAACCGGCTCGAGATACACTTGTTGTTATATTCCATGGAATGCTCTTAACATCCAGATAGCAATGAATATCTGAAGTGCTTTGACAAAAGATCCATAAAACATATCATCTGTGGAAGCTGTAGTTCTGTAAAAAGCACGACCAATCATCTGAGCCGGCTAAAATCACTGGATGGCCTACCTGCCTGTCAGCCTTCCATCGGGGCACAAACTTATCTCGTGCCCTCATTGGTCATGTGCGCGTTCGTGTGTGTTGGAGGAGGGGCTCTGTGAGGAAGTGGAAGATTTTCTCAAGTTGTGTATTTTCAAATTCTAGCGATCTCTAGCCGGTTTCTCAAACTTACCTACCCTACCTTTAAATACGATTATTCATTGACTTTGAAAACATCCATTTATTGAACTTTAAAACAAATAATAATTTGAACAGTATCTGTTTAACTGTTGATTTCCCTGAACGCATAATTCAACTGAAAAACCAATACACAAATAAATGAAACATTTAAATAAATAATATCAAAATAATAAATACCAATAAACAAGATCAACATATATTTTGGAGCGCACTTCCTCAAGCCACTAAACATATATAAATTGATAAATACAAATTAATTAGATCAAATATGTTTCAGTGTCACAACCTAGCAAAGCTAAATAATCTATTAATTAATTGCACAGCCCTAACTCACAGTATGTGACACTGTGAGTTAGGGCTGTGCAATTAATCGTATTTTAATCTCGATTATGATTTTGGCTTGCAACGATTACGAAAACAACATAATCGAAATAAAACGATTATTATTTTTATAAAAAAATATATATATATAATTTTTTTTTTTTTTGGTTTTTCAGTTGAATTATACTTCAAGTTCAGGGTAATCAACTGTTAAACTCATACTGTTCACATTTTTGTTTCAATAAATGGATGTTTTCAAAGTAAATGGATAATCGTTTTTAATAATCGTGATATCAATTATTGACCCAAATAATCGTGATTAGGGTTTTTGCCATAATCGCACAGCCCTACTGTGAGTGTTGCACGGCCAGATACGGCTCAGCTGACTCAGATAAGGAAATATATGATACATTATGATGTGATATGATATGAATGATAATGGGACACATCGACGTCTGCACTCACAGTGCCGCGGACTGTACGTAATGTTACTCTGATCCGGTTACTTATGTTGTGGCAGATATTTAAGTAAGCTTTCTTAACGCTAATGTTATAATAGTCAGATTGCTCTGAAGATGGGAGGAGGGGATATTCTATTCATGTTCACGTTCACACAGTCAGGTGATTTTTGCCGGCCGTCTTTCCTGCAACGGCAGTTTTTCTGTATTTCCTCTATCCTGTAATATGACTTGATCGCTTTAAACTCCGCACACTGAGCTCTGATTGGTCAGCAGGCGGTGAGCTCTGATTGGTCAGCAGGCGGTGAGCTCTGATTGGTCAGCAGGCGGTGAGCTCTGACTGGTCAGCAGGCGGTGCTTTTATCCTGGAACCTATCCTGCTCCGGAGGCTAGCCGTTCAGAATAAGTTATCTAGCCCGCTAAAAAGAGAACCAGCTTCGTAGGACCGGAAACCCAGAGTTTACCTGAAGTTAGCTAAGAGAACATCCGGCTTCGTAGTACAGGCCCCTGGTCTCTGGTCTCTGGACCTTCAGCTTCATGTGATTAATAATAATAACAACAACAACAGTACCTCGGTGCCCTGGACCTTCAGCTTCATGTGGTCCTCTCTGGTTGTCTTCCCGTCCTTCCTCTTCTTCCAGCAGTATCCATCCTTCCTGTATTTCACCTTCTTCCTGTTGTACAGAATGATGCTGCCGTTCTTCGGCCTGCAGAGGAACACACATCAGCTGCTGCTCAGTAAACAACAACAACAACAACTATTATTATAATTAGTAATGTTCAGAGGGAGGACCTGGTCTTCAGGGAGCAGGAGAGCCACTCGTCATGTCTGTCGAAGGAGATCAGGTACGAAGCTATCTCCTACACACACACACACACACACACACACACACACACACACACACACACACACACACACACACACACACACACACACACACACACACACACACACACACACACACACACACACACACACATCACACACACACCACACACACACACACACACACACACACACACACACACACACACACACACACACACACACACACACACACACACACACACACAATGATTAGAAATAAAGACAAACTAAATATAAAAGGGATTTATAATATCAAGAAAATAGAGTAAAATATTTGGGAATATAAATAAAGATAAAAAATGGAAGCGATTTAAAAATAAAGGTTATTAATTTTCTGTATTAAATGATAATGACTGAACTATAATCACCTCGTTAGTGTTCCAGCGCAGACGCTCGCTGGGCAGGCTGGAGAGACGAGGGAGACACTCGAGCAGCTTGTTGGGAACAAACACCTTCCTCTGGCCCTTACTCTCTACACACACACACACACACATTATACACACACACACACACACATTATACACACACACACACACACATTATACACATTATACACACACACACAAACATTATACACATTATACACACACACACACACACACATTATACACACACATTATACACATTATACACACACACAAACATTATACACATTATACACACACACACATTATACACATTATACACACACACATTATACACACACACACATTATACACACACACACATTATACACACACACATTATACACACACACACACAGTAACTTGTGGACTATGATTTTTTTTCTCAGAGTAAATATAGCGCTGATAACGATGACACACACAGTGGAGATGACGTCATCAGCGACAGGTGGTTGCTGTGGCAACGGAGCTGTCTGTGTCTACAGGTGAGACTGACCTGTCTCCGTGGAAACCATCTCCTTGTTGCTCATGACGACGAGTCCATGCAGGGGAGGAGCCTCAGCGCGGCCGCCCACACTGCCCCTCTGCACACACACACAGTCTGATTAACAGGAAACAAGGTCTGCAACAGGATACCAGCATCACACACACACTCCTCCAATAGCTCCCTGTTGCCTAGCAACAGCTGAAATTGCACCCACTTTAAATGAAGTGTGTGTGTGTGTTCAGTTACACAACACTTTCAATTTTTAACATTGTGTGTGTGTTATCTCTATACACCTGACTAGGATCCAAACACTGATTGATAAACATCAATAAGCGCACACACACACACACACACACACACACACACACACACACACACACACACACACACACACACACACACACACACACACACACACACACACACACACACACACACACACACACACACACACACGGTTCACTAATATGATGAAAAACTCGTATTTATTTTTGATTTAAAGTTATGTTTTGTGATTATATGAATAATATTTAAATATCCTTTTTAAATAAAATATTATTTCATGGGAACTTAAATAGATCTGAATAATAAGAAACAATTAAATATATTTAAATATAAATAAAATGTAAAAAATATAGTTTGCTGTTTTTTATTATTGAAATTATAATTAATGTGAATTAAAAAATGTAATAATAAAGCTTTAACATTAATTCACCATTTAAGACAATATTATTACACCCACAGATGGGATCCAGGAGGCCGGGCTCAGACCCCGGTCTCTCCTGGCTGTCTCCCCGCCTCTCGGAGCTTGTCTCCCTGCTTCAGGAGCTCAGCACCCCCCGGCGGTCCGCTAAGCTAACGTTAGCACGGTCCTTAGTTCCGCTTTTTTATATTGTAATGTAACGACACAACACGTTTTAACACACAAACAGCTCCCACCACATCCTCTTCATTACAGGCTGAACAAAACAAACGAGCCACATTAATTCAGTCTTTTATTAATATAAATAATTAATGTTTTTAGCATGTTATCTTAGCATGCTCAGCTAACCTGCTATGCTAACAGATGAAACAGCTCTTTAACCCGGGTTAATCCGGGTCAGACTGCTGGCTGTGGACCTTGAAGATATCAGACTAAATAACCCGGTTTAAATATAAATATAAAAGGAGCTTTTATAATAAAAATAGAGACTTTTTAAGCTTCTTTACCTTCCGCCTTCAGCACGGCCATCTTCTCTCTGTGACGTCACCACGTCTCTGCGGGGGTGGCGTGATGAAGAGGAGCAGGAATCATAATCTTTCATTCTTTTTGATATTTTTCACATATTTCTTTGAGTTTTCAAAAATGTTCACATGTTTTTCACGTATTTTTCACATATTTAACATTATCTTTTTTTCCCCACTTTTTTTGATGTTGATATTTCTCACATTCTTTTTGATATTTTTCACATATTTCTTTGAGAGTTTTCTAAAATTGTTCACATGTTTTTCACATATTTCTTTGAGAGTTTTCAAAAATGTTCACATGTTTCACGTATTTTTCACATATTTTTTACGTATTTATTCACATTCATTTATATTTTAATAATAAAAAACAACAAAAAGAAACAACATTTCTTATAACAGATCAATTTAAATTCCCATTAAATATTATTTTATTTAAATAAGTACATTTATGTAATACTTATACTTTCATATAAAAGGTTACAAAAAATAAAATAAATACATAAGTCCTATTGTGTTAAATTCAGACTAATCTCTTATATCTGATGATGGTAGAAACCCAGCAGCACACAGAGACGGAGACGTAGAGAAAATATCGGACGTTTATTTTGTAGAAAAGTGGAGCCGAGCTCTTCACATTAAAAACTTTCCACCGTCTGCCCGGCAACAGCTGACAGGTACTCACTACTGACTTCAAGAAGGAGATCAAACTGCTGATTCACAGGCGGCTGATTGGTCAGCTGACAGGTACTCACTACTGACTTCAAGAAGGAGATCAAACAGCTGATTTACAGGCGGCTCTGATTGGTCAGCTGACAGGTACTCACTACTGACTTCAAGAAGGAGATCAAACAGCTGATTTACAGGCGGCTCTGATTGGTCAGCTGACACATACTGGCCGTTTCTCAATCACGAGGATACTGGCTTCCAAGCCAATATTTCAAGGATGCTACGTCATCGAGTGCCGCCGAAGGACTGTTCCAATCTCCAGCATACTTGGAATTCCACCGAGGCCGCGTCCTTGGTTTGGGGGAAATTTCGAGGCTGCACATGAGTAGACTTCGCGTCCTTAAAATCCCCACAATGCTTTGCGCACGGACCAATTTCCCCAAATCTGTGGCGGAAGATGTAAGGGGCGGGGCCTCTCATATGATGCACACCTGCACACTTGCTAGCCTGTTCCAGTCTTCGTTTTCCGAATGCCAGGAAGTATTCTTGCCTCGCTTCTGAAGCAAGATGCTCGGCTCGGCTGTGCTACCAAGCCAGCATCCTCGCGATTGAGAAACGGCCACTCACTACTGACTTCAAGAAGGAGATCAAACAGCTGATTTACAGGCGGCTCTGATTGGTCAGCTGACAGGTCCTCACTACTGACTTCAAGAAGGAGATCAAACAGCTGATTTACAGGCGGCTCTGATTGGTCAGCTGACAGGTCCTCACTACTGACTTCAAGGAGATCAAACAGCTGATTCACAGGCGGCCCTGATTGGTCAGCTGACAGGTACTCACTACTGACTTCAAGAAGGAGATAAAACAGCTGATTTACAGGCGGCTCTGATTGGTCAGCTGACAGGTCCTCACTACTGACTTCAAGGAGATCAAACAGCTGATTCACAGGCGGCCCTGATTGGTCAGCTGACAGGTCCTCACTACTGACTTCAAGGAGATCAAACAGCTGATTCACAGGCGGCTCTGATTGGTCAGCTGACAGGTACTCACTACTGACTTCAAGAAGGAGATAAAACAGCTGATTCACAGGCGGCCCTGATTGGTCAGCTGACAGGTCCTCACTACTGACTTCAAGAAGGAGATAAAACAGCTGATTCACAGGCGGCCCTGATTGGTCAGCTGACAGGTACTCACTACTGACTTCAAGAAGGAGATCAAACAGCTGATTCACAGGCGGCCCTGATTGGTCAGCTGACAGGTCCTCACTACTGACTTCAAGAAGGAGATCAAACAGCTGATTCACAGGCGGCTCTGATTGGTCAGCTGACAGGTCCTCACTACTGACTTCAAGGAGATCAAACAGCTGATTCACAGGCGGCTCTGATTGGTCAGCTGACAGGTCCTCACTACTGACTTCAAGAAGGAGATCAAACAGCTGATTTACAGGCGGCTCTGATTGGTCAGCTGACAGGTCCTCACTACTGACTTCAAGGAGATCAAACAGCTGATTTACAGGCGGCTCTGATTGGTCAGCTGACAGGTACTCACTACTGACTTCAAGGAGATCAAACAGCTGATTCACAGGCGGCTCTGATTGGTCAGCTGGTCGGCTCTGCTGGGATTGGTCCACTTGCTTAGAGATGTCCCGCCCCTTAGACACCAGCGTGTGGAGCGTTAGCCAATGGGAGTAAAGAAAGGAGTCCAATAGAGTCCCCTCTAGCTGTTAGCGTGCATTCATAATAAATACCGTGTGATGATGAGCATCTGAAGAGTAACTCATGTTTCATCTGAACTCACATCATGACATGTTGTCTTTTACTTTAGTTACTTAGAATAGTCTTCAAACAGGTTCAAGCAGCACTTATTGATCTCTGTTTCTCTGTTCCACGTGACCCTAACCCTTCGGACTCTTTTACCTCCAGACGTTTCATCCCTGCTTTATTTTGAAAGTCTGCAGAGTGATAGAAAGTCATTAAATCAACTTTCTATAATATTAAAAACCCTAAATGAAAACTCTTTGAGCAGAACTTTTACACATCGTTTCAATCCTGATGTTTTTACAGTGATCGTCTTAAAGAGAAACCTCTGAGCTGGAAACCAACACTTCCTGTACGTATTTCACAATAAAAGCCTGGCCAGCTGGAGGACTTTTATTGTGAAATGTAAACAGGAAGTGCGAGATAAATCAGCAGCTTGTTCCTGTAAATCTAACCTCTGATCTCAGGTCAGTGGACCGTCCGTCACACCGACAGGAAGTAGTTTTATTCTGACGGGAACGACCTACAGTAATCAATAACCAATATCTGATCAGCCTCATCGGTGCGTAAAAAAACAGAAGAAGAAGAAAAACTAGCTCCACAGGAACAGTGAGTGTGTGTGCGTGTGTACGGGTGTGTGTACGTGTGTGTGTCTGTCTGTGTGTAGGGGGTCATGCTCCTTGGGGTCAGAGGTCATCACATGCCCTGCCGGATGCTCTGGATGATCTGGAAGATTGCTGCAACACAAACATGCAATGAAACACATTAAAATCAGAGTAACTCCTCTCGGTTCAGTAACACTTGAATATATTAGATAGAGGTTTGTTCACAGAGTTATTCATCGAGCAATAACTCAATAAAAACCATTAAATGTTCCAGAAACACACGTTGTCCGGTTACACCTGTTTAATAAATATCTGTGCGCTCACCTGATCCACAGACCACGAAGACAAAGAGAGCGAGGAGCCAGGGACCGACCGGAGACTTCTCCTCGTTCACAGGCCGCTGAAACACACACACACACACCTCAATATCACAAGCAATGCGAGAAAGAAATATCAATAAGATGTGTTTTACGTGTGTTATGTAAGACAACAGAACATAAGACTCTAGGGAAGAAGACAGCAAGATATTTAGGATCAAAATGTGTCCCATAGTTCAGGCTAGACCTACACAACAGCAGAGTTTACAACAAGTATTTCAGTTTAATAGATTAATGAATTAAGAGCGGTATTTCTGTTTAATGAACAGTGCTGTGATTGGCTCACACTGCCTGCTAAACCAACCACAGACTCCCTTTAGAAATCTGTGTATGTAATGCTGACCTCTGTGTTTGCTAAAGTAAACACGAGATAAAATACAAGACGCGGTTATTATCCAACCGGGTTCAAGCCTTTCTTTAATTCGTCTTGAGTATAATTAGCATAACGACACGATGAAACTCTCTCTGTGTCTCAGACCTGTTTACAACCTGCCAGGACCGGGAGAACTGGTTAAAATACCACAAAACCCACAGGAAACACTGAGTTATATGTAGGCCGAATTGAAGATAATTTGTAAAACAGTAAATGAAACACATTAAGTAATATATACATGTATTACATATCTCTGTATGCACAAATAAACAATAAAAAACACAGATATGTGGACGTAGCCTGGCTGAAAACCCACCAAACTATCAAAAGCAGGGAATTATATGTGGGCCGAATTGAAGATCATGTGTCAAACAGTAAAGAACACACATCAAGTAATATATTTGTATTAAATATCTCTGTATACACGCAAAAACAATAAAAACACAGATTTCTGGAGGCAGTCTGGCTCTCTTCCTACAGTGTAGCTGCTAATGCTAATGCTAGCTACACCAGACTAAGCTGTATTCTCGTTCCTGGATATTTAAACCTAAAAGCTGAATTAAATCAGGATTATTGTGCATGTTAAACACCATGTGTGTGATGTTTATGGTGTAATGTCTATAATGTAATGTGTGGGGATGCATGCATCAGCAAGCCGGTTAGCCTGTTAGCTCTGTTAGCCGTTAGCCTGGCTGTCAGTGTGTAATACAAATATTTAAGTATAAAGTACCGATGTTCTCTGCACGTGTCAGCACCATAGACTGTATATGATAATATATAATAATATATAATAATATAATAGAACAGTACTGGTGTTTTCAGTACCATAGAGTGTATATATAAATAGATAATAATAAGTACCGATGTTTTCTGGACGTGTCCCCGCTGGGTGATGCTCTTGCTGTGCCGCTCGTTCGCCACCTTCATCCGCTGAATGGCCGACATGGTTCTGTTCGGAGGAGAAGAAGCAGTGAGGAGGCCGGTACCGGAGAGGAGGAGAGCCGGAGGCTGGAGGAGGAGGCCGGTACCGGAGAGGAGGAGAACCAGAGTCTGGAGGAGAGCCGGTACCGGAGAGAAAACGTCCCGCAGGAGGAGGGTCTCTGCCGGTCTGAAGAGGCTAGCTGTTAGCTCGAGCTAGCGTGAAGCTAAGCGTGAAGCTACACCCGCGTCACGTGACGGGGGCCAGGCGGCCTCCAGTGGCGGGAAGAAGAACTGCTTTTATTTTCAATATTAATAACAAATATGTAATTTATAGAAAATATAATAATCTTATTCATTATGTTTAACATTTGCTGTGGCCCTGCTTTAACCTGTTAAGCCCCGAGCCTGTTTTCCAGGTTTCAGGCTCGAAAATGACATGCCCAGAACAAATGACTATAACTTCACTTCTAAAAGGGGAAAATTAACAATCTTTTTTCTCAAAGCAATGATAAACCTGTGAGTTGGATGTAGAAGAGTCAGAATCAATATAGATTTTTTTAATTTTAAAGTGGACCTATCATGCTATATTTTAATAATATATTGTAGGACCATACATAATAAGGCATATTTATACTTTTTTTTTTGAAAATACCAAACAGATCATGCATTTTAGCCATGCCTCATTTTGCTCAATTTGACAATTTCTAGCTCTGTTTTTGCAAGGGCTGATTCAGTGAGAACAGCACCACCTACAGGCCTGGCATATGTACTACAGCGTCTCCAGCGCTTTCGAACGGCAATGGCCGTGGCTGTCTCCTCCTGATTGGTGGAGTTGGCCCAATAGCCGTAGCGCCACCGTCCTGACGTCAGGACAGTGTTCAAATCTGGATCAGTTTTTATCAGATCCGTTGCAGCCCCTTTTTTAGAGATTTGGGTATGGAGGAAAATAGAGAGGGTTGTGTTTTCTGACACTTGGTGAGTTCCCTGGAACACCGGGGACACATATTCATGTAGAAAAGACGTACAAAAGTGCATTTTGCATGATAGGTCCCCTTTAAAGTAAATTCAGATTGAACATACTAAAGAAATTTAAATTCTAGTGTCCGTCCAAAAGAAAAACCATTACTTATAGTGAAAACCACCCTTGAATGATGGGATAGTAGACTAAAAGCTTTAGGAATCCAAACTATAACATATAATAAGTACCCTGTATCAAGATTGAGGCAAAACAAGTGAAATTTTACCTTTTTAGAGAGATTTAGCAAAATAAACCCACTTCTGGGGTCATTTGGGTGGATTTGACCTATCTCTGGCCCCCCTTGCTCGATTTTGATGATTGACACCTTTTTTTAACCGCTAGAGCCAATGGAATCGAGGGGAAGTTCCACATACACACACAGGTTACCAAATAAGGAGTGAGAGTGACGCGTAGCCAAAACCGGAAGCTGCGATACACTTTGGTGGCTACCATTAGCAGCTAATATTAATTCTCCGATAAAAATTGAATTATGGATTATCAAAACTTTTTTCAAAGTGACAGACACATTGGATTAACCTATGGATTAACCTATGGATTAACCTATGGATTAACCTATGGATTAACCTTCAGCCGCGTTTGTTCTCGTTTGAATGCCATTGAACACGACTTTTGATCAGAATAACAGCTAAAGGTGAGCATATCTCCGTGTTTTGCTACCTAAAGCTAGTCGTGTGTTGTCTGTATTTGCTTCCCCTGTCGCGAGTTCTGATCGCTCAGTGATGATACTTATATTTCTATAATCTGTGGAATCTCAGCTTGTAAACTAAGCTTGTTTGTGCAGATCCGATAAGTATATGGATCGATGTATACCTAGAGTTTTGTGCTAAGTGCGTTAGCATCATTTCGCTCAGGGCTCATTTAGACCCTTCTTGTGAGACTTGTGTTTTGTTTCGGTAAAAATGGTTCGTATTATCAGTTAGCTGAGTTTCTTCCCGTTAGGAGGGTATGACACATTCATAGTTTTAAATATTAAGAAGCCCTGAGACACAGGCGGGGTCTTAACAGGTTAAAGGTGAGTGTCGTGGCCCTGCAAGGTGAGTGACGAGGCCCCGCTTTAAAGGTGAGTGACGAGGCCCCGCTTTAAAGGTGAGTGACGAGGCCCCGCTTTGAAGGTGAGTGACGAGGCCCCGCTTTAAAGGTGAGTGACGAGGCCCCGCTTTGAAGGTGAGTGACGAGGCCCCGCTTTAAAGGTGAGTGACGTGGCCCCGCTTTGAAGGTGAGTGACGTGGCCCCGCTTTAAAGGTGAGTGAAGAGGCCCTGATTTAAAGGTGAGTGATGAGGCCCCGCTTTGAAGGTGAGTGACGAGGCCCCGCTTTAAAGGTGAGTGACGAGGCCCCGCTTTGAAGGTGAGTGATGTGGCCCCGCTTTGAAGGTGAGTGAAGAGGCCCTGATTTAAAGGTGAGTGATGAGGCCCCGCTTTAAAGGTGAGTGACGAGGCCCCGCTTTGAAGGTGAGTGATGTGGCCCCGCTTTGAAGGTGAGTGAAGAGGCCCCGCTTTAAAGGTGAGTGATGAGGCCCCGCTTTGAAGGTGAGTGACGAGGCCCCGCTTTAAAGGTGAGTGACGAGGCCCCGCTTTGAAGGTGAGTGACGTGGCCCCGCTTTGAAGGTGAGTGACGTGGCCCTGCTTTGAAGGTGAGTGATGTGGCCCCGCTTTGAAGGTGAGTGATGAGGCCCCGCTTTGAAGGTGAGTGAAGAGGCCCCGCTTTGAAGGTGAGTGAAGAGGCCCCGCTTTAAAGGTGAGTGACGAGGCCCCGCTTTAAAGGTGAGTGACGAGGCCCCGCTTTGAAGGTGAGTGACGAGGCCCCGCTTTAAAGGTGAGTGACGTGGCCCCGCTTTGAAGGTGAGTGACGAGGCCCCGCTTTGAAGGTGAGTGACGAGGCCCCGCTTTAAAGGTGAGTGACGAGGCCCCGCTTTGAAGGTGAGTGATGAGGCCCCGCTTTGAAGGTGAGTGACGAGGCCCCGCTTTAAAGGTGAGTGATGAGGCCCCGCTTTGAAGGTGAGTGAAGAGGCCCCGCTTTGAAGGTGAGTGATGAGGCCCCGCTTTGAAGGTGAGTGAAGAGGCCCCGCTTTGAAGGTGAGTGATGAGGCCCCGCTTTAAAGGTGAGTGAAGAGGCCCCGCTTTGAAGGTGAGTGACGTGGCCCCGCTTTAAAGGTGAGTGAAGAGGCCCCGCTTTGAAGGTGAGTGATGAGGCCCCGCTTTGAAGGTGAGTGAAGAGGCCCCGCTTTGAAGGTGAGTGATGAGGCCCCGCTTTAAAGGTGAGTGAAGAGGCCCCGCTTTGAAGGTGAGTGACGTGGCCCCGCTTTAAAGGTGAGTGAAGAGGCCCTGATTTAAAGGTGAGTGTCGTGGCCCTGCTTTAAAGGTGAGTGATGAGGCCCCGCTTTGAAGGTGAGTGAAGAGGCCCCGCTTTGAAGGTGAGTGATGTGGCCCCGCTTTGAAGGTGAGTGATGAGGCCCCGCTTTAAAGGTGAGTGACGAGGCCCCGCTTTGAAGGTGAGTGACGAGGCCCCGCTTTGAAGGTGAGTGAAGAGGCCCCGCTTTGAAGGTGAGTGATGAGGCCCCGCTTTGAAGGTGAGTGAAGAGGCCCCGCTTTAAAGGTGAGTGATGAGGCCCTGCTTTAAAGGTGAGTGATGAGGCCCCGCTTTGAAGGTGAGTGACGAGGCCCCGCTTTGAAGGTGAGTGAAGAGGCCCCGCTTTGAAGGTGAGTGATGAGGCCCCGCTTTGAAGGTGAGTGATGAGGCCCCGCTTTAAAGGTGAGTGACGAGGCCCCGCTTTAAAGGTGAGTGATGAGGCCCCGCTTTGAAGGTGAGTGATGAGGCCCCGCTTTGAAGGTGAGTGACGAGGCCCCGCTTTGAAGGTGAGTGATGAGGCCCCGCTTTGAAGGTGAGTGATGAGGCCCTGCTTTAAAGGTGAGTGATGAGGCCCCGCTTTGAAGGTGAGTGACGAGGCCCCGCTTTGAAGGTGAGTGAAGAGGCCCCGCTTTGAAGGTGAGTGATGAGGCCCCGCTTTGAAGGTGAGTGATGAGGCCCCGCTTTGAAGGTGAGTGACGAGGCCCCGCTTTGAAGGTGAGTGACGAGGCCCCGCTTTAAAGGTGAGTGACGAGGCCCCGCTTTAAAGGTGAGTGAAGAGGCCCCGCTTTAAAGGTGAGTGACGAGGCCCCGCTTTTAAAGGTGAGTGACGAGGCCCCGCTTTAAAGGTGAGTGACGAGGCCCCGCTTTAAAGGTGAGTGATGAGGCCCCGCTTTGAAGGTGAGTGACGAGGCCCCGCTTTAAAGGTGAGTGACGAGGCCCCGCTTTAAAGGTGAGTGAAGAGGCCCCGCTTTGAAGGTGAGTGACGAGGCCCCGCTTTAAAGGTGAGTGAAGAGGCCCCGCTTTGAAGGTGAGTGATGTGGCCCTGCTTTAAAGGTGAGTGACGAGGCCCCGCTTTGAAGGTGAGTGATGTGGCCCCGCTTTGAAGGTGAGTGATGTGGCCCCGCTTTGAAGGTGAGTGAAGAGGCCCCGCTTTGAAGGTGAGTGACGAGGCCCCGCTTTGAAGGTGAGTGATGTGGCCCCGCTTTGAAGGTGAGTGACGAGGCCCCGCTTTAAAGGTGAGTGAAGAGGCCCCGCTTTAAAGGTGAGTGAAGAGGCCCCGATTTAAAGGTGAGTGACGAGGCCCCGCTTTGAAGGTGAGTGACGAGGCCCCGCTTTAAAGGTGAGTGAAGAGGCCCCGCTTTAAAGGTGAGTGACGAGGCCCCGCTTTGAAGGTGAGTGACGAGGCCCCGCTTTGAAGGTGAGTGACGAGGCCCCGCTTTGAAGGTGAGTGACGTGGCCCCGCTTTGAAGGTGAGTGACGTGGCCCCGCTTTGAAGGTGAGTGACGTGGCCCCGCTTTAAAGGTGAGTGAAGAGGCCCCGATTTAAAGGTGAGTGATGAGGCCCCGCTTTGAAGGTGAGTGATGAGGCCCCGCTTTGAAGGTGAGTGACGAGGCCCCGCTTTGAAGGTGAGTGATGAGGCCCCGCTTTGAAGGTGAGTGATGAGGCCCCGCTTTAAAGGTGAGTGATGAGGCCCCGCTTTGAAGGTGAGTGATGTGGCCCCGCTTTGAAGGTGAGTGACGAGGCCCCGCTTTGAAGGTGAGTGATGTGGCCCCGCTTTAAAGGTGAGTGAAGAGGCCCCGCTTTAAAGGTGAGTGATGAGGC